CGCTTGAGAATTCTCAAAAGCCACGCTTGAGAATTCTCACAAGCCACGCTTGAGAATTCTCACAAGCCACGCTTGAGAATTCTCACAAGCCACGCTTGAGAATTCTCACAAGCCACGCTTGAGAATTCTCACAAGCCACGCTTGAGAATTCTCAAAAGCCACGCTTGAGAATTCTCAAAAGCCACGCTTGAGAATTCTCAAAAGCCACGCTTGAGAATTCTCAAAAGCCACGCTTGAGAATTCTCAAAAGCCACGCTTGAGAATTCTCAAAAGCCACGCTTGAGAATTCTCAAAAGCCACGCTTGAGAATTCTCAAAAGCCACGCTTGAGAATTCTCACAAGCCACGCTTGAGAGTTCTCAAAAGCCACGCTTGAGAGTTCTCAAAAGCCACGCTTGAGAATTCTCAAAAGCCACGCTTGAGAATTCTCAAAAGCCATACTTGAGAATTCTCAAAAGCCACGCTTGAGAATTCTCACAAGCCACGCTTGAGAATTCTCACAAGCCACGCTTGAGAATTCTCAAAAGCCACGCTTGAGAATTCTCAAAAGCCACGCTTGAGAATTCTCAAAAGCCACGCTTGAGAATTCTCAAAAGCCACGCTTGAGAATTCTCACAAGCCACGCTTGAGAATTCTCACAAGCCACGCTTGAGAATTCTCACAAGCCACGCTTGAGAATTCTCACAAGCCACGCTTGAGAATTCTCACAAGCCACGCTTGAGAATTCTCAAAAGCCACGCTTGAGAATTCTCACAAGCCACGCTTGAGAATTCTCACAAGCCACGCTTGAGAATTCTCACAAGCCACGCTTGAGAATTCTCACAAGCCACGCTTGAGAATTCTCACAAGCCACGCTTGAGAATTCTCACAAGCCACGCTTGAGAATTCTCACAAGCCACGCTTGAGAATTCTCACAAGCCACGCTTGAGAATTCTCAAAAGCCACGCTTGAGAATTCTCACAAGCCACGCTTGAGAATTCTCAAAAGCCACGCTTGAGAATTCTCACAAGCCACGCTTGAGAATTCTCACAAGCCACGCTTGAGAATTCTCACAAGCCACGCTTGAGAATTCTCACAAGCCACGCTTGAGAATTCTCACAAGCCACGCTTGAGAATTCTCACAAGCCACGCTTGAGAATTCTCACAAGCCACGCTTGAGAATTCTCACAAGCCACGCTTGAGAATTCTCAAAAGCCACGCTTGAGAATTCTCAAAAGCCACGCTTGAGAATTCTCAAAAGCCACGCTTGAGAATTCTCACAAGCCACGCTTGAGAATTCTCAAAAGCCACGCTTGAGAATTCTCACAAGCCACGCTTGAGAATTCTCACAAGCCACGCTTGAGAATTCTCACAAGCCACGCTTGAGAATTCTCACAAGCCACGCTTGAGAATTCTCACAAGCCACGCTTGAGAATTCTCAAAAGCCACGCTTGAGAATTCTCAAAAGCCACGCTTGAGAATTCTCAAAAGCCACGCTTGAGAATTCTCAAAAGCCACGCTTGAGAATTCTCACAAGCCACGCTTGAGAATTCTCAAAAGCCACGCTTGAGAATTCTCACAAGCCACGCTTGAGAATTCTCACAAGCCACGCTTGAGAATTCTCACAAGCCACGCTTGAGAATTCTCACAAGCCACGCTTGAGAATTCTCACAAGCCACGCTTGAGAATTCTCAAAAGCCACGCTTGAGAATTCTCAAAAGCCACGCTTGAGAATTCTCAAAAGCCACGCTTGAGAATTCTCAAAAGCCACGCTTGAGAATTCTCAAAAGCCACGCTTGAGAATTCTCAAAAGCCACGCTTGAGAATTCTCAAAAGCCACGCTTGAGAATTCTCAAAAGCCACGCTTGAGAATTCTCACAAGCCACGCTTGAGAGTTCTCAAAAGCCACGCTTGAGAGTTCTCAAAAGCCACGCTTGAGAATTCTCAAAAGCCACGCTTGAGAATTCTCAAAAGCCATACTTGAGAATTCTCAAAAGCCACGCTTGAGAATTCTCACAAGCCACGCTTGAGAATTCTCACAAGCCACGCTTGAGAATTCTCAAAAGCCACGCTTGAGAATTCTCAAAAGCCACGCTTGAGAATTCTCAAAAGCCACGCTTGAGAATTCTCAAAAGCCACGCTTGAGAATTCTCACAAGCCACGCTTGAGAATTCTCACAAGCCACGCTTGAGAATTCTCACAAGCCACGCTTGAGAATTCTCACAAGCCACGCTTGAGAATTCTCACAAGCCACGCTTGAGAATTCTCAAAAGCCACGCTTGAGAATTCTCACAAGCCACGCTTGAGAATTCTCACAAGCCACGCTTGAGAATTCTCACAAGCCACGCTTGAGAATTCTCACAAGCCACGCTTGAGAATTCTCACAAGCCACGCTTGAGAATTCTCACAAGCCACGCTTGAGAATTCTCACAAGCCACGCTTGAGAATTCTCACAAGCCACGCTTGAGAATTCTCAAAAGCCACGCTTGAGAATTCTCAAAAGCCACGCTTGAGAATTCTCAAAAGCCACGCTTGAGAATTCTCACAAGCCACGCTTGAGAATTCTCAAAAGCCACGCTTGAGAATTCTCACAAGCCACGCTTGAGAATTCTCACAAGCCACGCTTGAGAATTCTCAAAAGCCACGCTTGAGAATTCTCACAAGCCACGCTTGAGAATTCTCACAAGCCACGCTTGAGAATTCTCAAAAGCCACGCTTGAGAATTCTCAAAAGCCACGCTTGAGAATTCTCACAAGCCACGCTTGAGAATTCTCAAAAGCCACGCTTGAGAATTCTCACAAGCCACGCTTGAGAATTCTCACAAGCCACGCTTGAGAATTCTCAAAAGCCACGCTTGAGAATTCTCAAAAGCCACGCTTGAGAATTCTCAAAAGCCACGCTTGAGAATTCTCACAAGCCACGCTTGAGAATTCTCAAAAGCCACGCTTGAGAATTCTCACAAGCCACGCTTGAGAATTCTCACAAGCCACGCTTGAGAATTCTCACAAGCCACGCTTGAGAATTCTCAAAAGCCACGCTTGAGAATTCTCACAAGCCACGCTTGAGAATTCTCACAAGCCACGCTTGAGAATTCTCAAAAGCCACGCTTGAGAATTCTCAAAAGCCACGCTTGAGAATTCTCACAAGCCACGCTTGAGAATTCTCAAAAGCCACGCTTGAGAATTCTCACAAGCCACGCTTGAGAATTCTCAAAAGCCACGCTTGAGAATTCTCAAAAGCCACGCTTGAGAATTCTCAAAAGCCACGCTTGAGAATTCTCAAAAGCCACGCTTGAGAATTCTCACAAGCCACGCTTGAGAATTCTCAAAAGCCACGCTTGAGAATTCTCACAAGCCACGCTTGAGAATTCTCACAAGCCACGCTTGAGAATTCTCACAAGCCACGCTTGAGAATTCTCACAAGCCACGCTTGAGAATTCTCACAAGCCACGCTTGAGAATTCTCAAAAGCCACGCTTGAGAATTCTCAAAAGCCACGCTTGAGAATTCTCAAAAGCCACGCTTGAGATTTCTCAAAAGCCACGCTTGAGAATTCTCACAAGCCACGCTTGAGAATTCTCAAAAGCCACGCTTGAGAATTCTCACAAGCCACGCTTGAGAATTCTCACAAGCCACGCTTGAGAATTCTCACAAGCCACGCTTGAGAATTCTCACAAGCCACGCTTGAGAATTCTCACAAGCCACGCTTGAGAATTCTCACAAGCCACGCTTGAGAATTCTCACAAGCCACGCTTGAGAATTCTCACAAGCCACGCTTGAGAATTCTCAAAAGCCACGCTTGAGAATTCTCAAAAGCCACGCTTGAGAATTCTCAAAAGCCACGCTTGAGAATTCTCACAAGCCACGCTTGAGAATTCTCAAAAGCCACGCTTGAGAATTCTCACAAGCCACGCTTGAGAATTCTCACAAGCCACGCTTGAGAATTCTCAAAAGCCACGCTTGAGAATTCTCACAAGCCACGCTTGAGAATTCTCACAAGCCACGCTTGAGAATTCTCAAAAGCCACGCTTGAGAATTCTCAAAAGCCACGCTTGAGAATTCTCACAAGCCACGCTTGAGAATTCTCAAAAGCCACGCTTGAGAATTCTCACAAGCCACGCTTGAGAATTCTCACAAGCCACGCTTGAGAATTCTCAAAAGCCACGCTTGAGAATTCTCAAAAGCCACGCTTGAGAATTCTCAAAAGCCACGCTTGAGAATTCTCACAAGCCACGCTTGAGAATTCTCAAAAGCCACGCTTGAGAATTCTCACAAGCCACGCTTGAGAATTCTCACAAGCCACGCTTGAGAATTCTCACAAGCCACGCTTGAGAATTCTCACAAGCCACGCTTGAGAATTCTCACAAGCCACGCTTGAGAATTCTCACAAGCCACGCTTGAGAATTCTCACAAGCCACGCTTGAGAATTCTCACAAGCCACGCTTGAGAATTCTCACAAGCCACGCTTGAGAATTCTCACAAGCCAGTGCCATGCGACCCTCTAGTTTGAGCCATGGCGTCCATCCTCTGCATTGGGTGAGGGGAGATTGGGGGGTGCAGGAGAGAGGTACGAAGGGTTGGGAGAAGGCCGTTACGCACTCTCCTCCCTCCCAAGACGATTTTTGAGGCGCCTCAAAAAGAACTCTCCTCCCTCCCAAGAGCCGTTGCCTTTCAACCCCCTCTGCGTGGAGCCATGGCCTTCCATTTGTGCTGTTGGGTGAGGGGAGGTTAAGCGGCGGGAGAAAAAGGTTGAAAGGGGTGGGGCGAGATAGGGGAGATTCCCAGGAGCCATTGCCGTCACGTCACACCCTCCCTCGTGCAGAGGGATGGTGCCCTATCCTGCACAAACAGCCACCCAGGAAGGGACTTTTGAATCGACTCAAAAGTCGTTCGCCCTCATAAAACGACCTTTAAGGTGCTTAGAATCAAACATAAGTAGGGAGTAAAGGAGGGAGAGGGAAAGGAGGGAGTAAAGGAACAAAAGTAGAGCGCGGAAGAGGAGAGAGATTTGGGGTGCGTTTGAATCAGCTTGCCAGCACAAACAGATGCCTCACCGACCGCTCGCTCTCCCCCACATACTTGTTCAGGAGCTCTGGTCCCTGGGACGTGAGGCGGGTTGAGAGAGAGGGGGGAAGTGAGTGGCGAAAGAGAGCAAGGCTGCATGCATCACAAACAGCTGCCTCACCGACCGCTCGCTCTCCCCCACATACTTGTTCAGGAGCTCTGGTCCCTGGGACGTGAGGCGGGTTGAGAGAGAGGGGGGAAGTGAGTGGCGAAAGAGAGCAAGGCTGCATGCATCACAAACAGCTGCCTCACCGACCGCTCGCTCTCCCCCACATACTTGTTCAGGAGCTCTGGTCCCTGGGACGTGAGGCGGGTTGAGAGAGAGGGGGGAAGTGAGTGGCGAAAGAGAGCAAGGCTGCATGCATCACAAACAGCTGCCTCACCGACCGCTCGCTCTCCCCCACATACTTGTTCAGGAGCTCTGGTCCCTGGGACGTGAGGCGGGTTGAGAGAGAGGGGGGAAGTGAGTGGCGAAAGAGAGCAAGGCTGCATGCATCACAAACAGCTGCCTCACCGACCGCTCGCTCTCCCCCACATACTTGTTCAGGAGCTCTGGTCCCTGGGACGTGAGGCGGGTTGAGAGAGAGGGGGGAAGTGAGTGGCGAAAGAGAGCAAGGCTGCATGCATCACAAACAGCTGCCTCACCGACCGCTCGCTCTCCCCCACATACTTGTTCAGGAGCTCTGGTCCCTGGGACGTGAGGCGGGTTGAGAGAGAGGGGGGAAGTGAGTGGCGAAAGAGAGCAAGGCTGCATGCATCACAAACAGCTGCCTCACCGACCGCTCGCTCTCCCCCACATACTTGTTCAGGAGCTCTGGTCCCTGGGACGTGAGGCGGGTTGAGAGAGAGGGGGGAAGTGAGTGGCGAAAGAGAGCAAGGCTGCATGCATCACAAACAGCTGCCTCACCGACCGCTCGCTCTCCCCCACATACTTGTTCAGGAGCTCTGGTCCCTGGGACGTGAGGCGGGTTGAGAGAGAGGGGGGAAGTGAGTGGCGAAAGAGAGCAAGGCTGCATGCATCACAAACAGCTGCCTCACCGACCGCTCGCTCTCCCCCACGTACTTGTTCAGGAGCTCTGGACCCTGGTGAGTGAACGCAGGTTGAGAAGAGACGGAGAAAGGGCGCGTGGGAAGAATGAAACAGGGTGTCTTTTTTTTTTTTTTTTTTTTTTTTTTTTTAGGCTGCCGCACTGACCGCTTGCTCTCCCCCACATGTTGAGAGCACTTGTTATCAAGTCATGCAATCACACAAACACACACACACACACACACACGCACGCACGCACGCATATGCCTGGAAAACATTCTTTGCCTGCATACCTTGATGGAGATGAAATTGGCTCCGGCGTCGTTGGCAATGGCCTTGGCCACCAGCGTCTTGCCACAACTTGGAAGGCCTAAAAGCACCCACCCTCAATTGTGCTTGTGGCACATGGCACGTGGACGGTGGGTGCCCCAATGGCCTACCTTGATAGAGATGAAATTCGCTCCGGCGATATGAGTGATTTGTTGAGACGTCTCAAAATTCCACTTTTAGCATGTGGACGGTGGGTGGTTGGCCTGGCCCCATGGCCTACCTTGATGGAGATGAAATTCGCCCCCGCGTCGTTGGCAATCGCCTTAGCCACCAGCGTCTTGCCGCACCCTGGCGGGCCGTAGAGGAGGATGCCTGTTGCTGCCCGGAGCCCCATGGCCTGCAAAGGACAGACATACAGACAGACAGGCGGGCAAATAGCGAGTCTAATTTGGATTCTGTGGTTCTGGCACAGCGGTGGACTTGCCACACCCCGGAGGGCCGTACAGGAGAATGCCCGTTGCTGCCTGGAGCCCCATGGTCTGGAGGAGACAAGGAGCCATTAAGGCAAGGATAACAAGAGAGAGGCAGAGGGGGCAAGAGAGGGTGGAGGAGGAGGGTCGCCTTGGCCACCAGCGTCTTGCCACACCCCGGTGGGCCGTAGACCCATGGCCTGGAGACCCATGGCCTGGAGACCCATGGCCTGGAGACCCATGGCCTGGAGGAGAGTCAGACAGAGGGACAAAACGACAGACAGGCAGATAGGACACGGAGTCGACTCAAAAGCCATAACGAGGTGAGGAGCGTTGCTGCACCCGGGAGGGCCATCGAGGAGCCTGGAGCCCTTTTGAGCCTGGAGCCCGGGCTCTCAAGAGGAGCCCGGAGACCCATGGCCTGCTGGCCCCATGGCAACAAGAGAAAAAGACAAAACGACGGAAAGACAGGGGGGGGGGGGGGCAAGAGAGAGAATGGAGACGAATGGATTGCAGCGACCCCCCTCCCCCTTATATCCTCGGCTCGGGGTGGTTGATTGGCCGAGAAATCGAAAACTCCATCTAGCTCCCCCCTCACGTCTGCAAGAGCCCCCAAGTCGTCCCAGGTGACATTGGGGAACCATGGCGTTACATGTTACTCAGCACATGTCCGGCAAGACCCTCACCTCATACTCCTCGTGGAGTTTTTGAGAATTCTCAAAAACTCCCTGCTCCCGGGAACCATGGCGTTACATGTTACTCTAAACATGTCCGGTAATACCCGCACCTCATACTCCTCGGGGTACTTGATGGGCCGAGAGATGGAGAACTCCAGCTCCTCTCGCACGTCTGCCAGAGCCCACGTCGTCCCAACGGAACCTCATGTGTGCTGTATGCATGAAGGCCAACCCACCCACCTCATATCATGCTCCTCGGGGTACTTGATGGGCCGAGAAATGGAGAACTCCACCCCCTCCCTCACGTCTGCCAGAGCCCCCACGTCGTCCCAGGTAACTAGAAATGGGACCAACACGTAACATGCTCCCAGCCCACGCATGTGCAGCGATCCCCCAATCTCACCTTACAGAACCCAACCCACCTCATACTCCTCGGGTCGGGGTACTTGATGGGTCGAGAGATGGAGAACTTCACCTCCTCTCGCACGTCTGCCAGTGCACCCACGTTGCCCCAGGTGACAATGAGGGAAGGAGGTAAAGCCCTCCTACCCAACCCACCTCATACTCTTCGGGGTACTTGATTGGACGAGAGATGGAGAACTCAAGCTCCTCTCGCACGTCTGCCAGAGCCCCCACGTCGTCCGAGGTGGCACTTGGGATGGTATGGTGTTTAATCCCTGCAACCGACTCACCTCATACTCCTCGGGGTATTTGATGGGCCGAGAAATGGAGAACTCCAGCTCCTCCCTCACGTCTGCCAGAGCCCCCACGTCGTCCCAGGTGACCCCGGGGATGGTGGTGAATCCCCCACTGCACTAGCCATGTTACACAGATGCTGCCACATACCTTACGCCCGAGTAGTTGTTTCCACACATAGCCAAGCAATCAACCCACCTTATACAGAAAAATCAACTCACCTCATACTCTTCGGGGTATTTGATGGGCCGAGAAATGGAGAACTCCAGCTCCTCTCGCACGTCCGAGAGTGCACCCACATCGTCCCAGGTGGCACTTGGGATGGTATGGTGTTTAATCCCTGCAAACAACCCACCTCATACTCCTCGGGGTACTTGATCGGTCGAGAAATGGAGAACTCCAGCTCCTCTCGCACGTCTGCCAGAGCACCCACGTCGTCCCACGTGACCCCAGGGATGGTGGTGAATCCCTCCCGTTTGGCACTCGGTTGCACCTTCGCCACTGCTGCCTGTAGTGGTTGAGAGTGGTACAGAGTGGTAGATAGTGGTGAGATTGTTCATGCCAATAACCCAGGTGACTCCGGGGATGGTGGTGAATCCCTCCCTCTTGGCGCTAACTGTGATGCTCAGCGCCTGCAGCTCCTACTGCCAAGTGCATCATGAGTCTGTGCGCATGGCATGCCATATCACACAACCAAGCATCTCTCCCTCTCGACCTCCGAGGGAGGGAAATATGTTGCAGCGTATGTTGCAGAGAATTCTCAAAAAACATCTCTCCCTCGCGACCTCCACTCCAATCCACCCCAACGCACCTCAAAGTCTCCCATTGTGATGCTCAGCGCCTGCAGCTCCTCCTACGTGCATCATGAGTCTGTGCGCATGGCATGCCACCATGTCTCTCTACTCCACCCCAACGCACCTCCAAGTCTCCCATTGTGATGCTCAGCGCCTGCAGCTCCTCCTACGTGCATCATGAGTCTGTGCGCATGGCATGCCACCATGTCTCTCTACTCCACCCCAACGCACCTCCAAGTCTCCCATTGTGATGCTCAGCGCCTGCAGCTCCTCCTCCTAGGTGCAGCACATACCCTGGACCCGAAAACTGAAACCCTAAACCCTCTCTACCTCCACTCCACTCCAATCCACCCCAACGCACCTCAAAGTCCCCCATTGTGATGCTCAGCGCCTGCAGCTCCTCTTCTCTCCACGGCTCCCTCCAAGCCTCCCCCGCTTTCTCCCTCCCCCCTTCTCCACCACCTTCGCCCTGCCTTTCCCCTCCGCGCCCTTCCTCCCCTCCCCCACTCCTCCCCACTTCTTTTTTCTCTACTGCTCCCTCCTCTCCATTCGCCATAGGAACAATCTCCTCTCCATCCACCAGCATACAGTCACCACCTAATGCTGCTGCTGCCCCTGCTGCCGCGGTTGCCGCTGCTGAAACGTCTTCCCTTACTCCTGTCACTTCCATTTCTCCTCCTCCCCCTACTCCTGCTATTGCCGCCACTCCTGTTCCTGCTGCTCCACCCAATCGCCCACCACCCACCAGCACCACTTCCTTACTCGTAAAAATCCTCTTCACCGCAATCGCCGCCGCTTCTTTCGCAAGAGCCGCTAAATCCGCCCCGACAAACCCCGGGGTACGCCGCGCAATAACCCCGAAATCAAACGATCCCTGCAGCCGCAGCTTCCTGGAAAGTACCTCCAGGATCCGTGCCCGCGCTGACTCATCGGGGATCCCCAGGGAGATCTCGCGATCAAATCTGCCCGCCCGCCTCAACGCAGGATCCAATGAATCTGGACGGTTCGTTGCTCCTATCACAACTACATGTCCTTTTAGCTTTCTCCTCCTCTCCTTCTCCCGTTCCCTCTCCCTCTCCTCTTGGTCCTCTATCCCTTTCTCCTTCTCCTTCTCCGTCTCCTCTCTCCCATCCCCTTTCTCATCCCCATCTCCTCCACCTGCTGACGTGTCAGGAGATGACTGGAGGTCGTCCAGACACGTCAGCAGCTGCGCAACAATCCGCCTCTCCATCTCCCGCTGAGCCGTCTCCCTCTTGGGTGTGATTGCATCGATTTCATCGATAAACAGAATGGCCGGAGCAGCACGTTCGGCTGAGGAGAAGAGCGACCGTAGCTTGGCCTCCGACTCACCTGGCAGTGTCGAGTAAGAAAACACGGAGAATAGAAGACACAACACAAGGAGAACACAAGGAGACCGTAACTTGTCAAGTAAGAAAACACGGAGAACAGAAGACACAACACAACGGGACTGTCAGCAGCACATCACGTGATAAAAGTGTTGTTTTGAGACGTCTCAAAACTCACCTGGCAGTGTCAAGTAAGAAAACACGGAGAACAGAAGACACAACACAAGGGGACTGTCAGCAACACATCTCCCTTTGGGTCGTCTCCCTCTTAAGGGTTAGCGCATCAATCTATTCGATGACCAGAATGGCTGGGGTCAGCCCTTTCAGCCAAGGAGAAGAGCGACCGTAGCTTTGCCTCCGACTCATTGCCTTGCCACACCCATTCTGTGCCTTGTGTAGGAAGCCGAGGAGGAAACCATTCGCCCCCGGCTTCCTACGCAATTGTGATGTGATGAGTTGAGGCGGCTCAGAAGAGACACAAAACGCACCTGACGTGCCCGAGACAATCTCAGGAGCAGCGATATTGAAGAACGGCACTCCTGCCTCCTGTGCAGCATTGCCTTGCCCCACGCAGGAGGCCCGTGGTGAAAACCACCAATTTAGCTCCTTACCTGACATGCCCGAGACGACTCAGAAGCAGCGATCTTGAAGAACGGCACCCCAGCTTCTTGTCCAATGGCATGAATGTGCCAGCATCGTCGTTTGAGGCGCCTCAAAAGTCGTCTATGGCATGAATGTGCCGGCATCGCCTTGACACACCCCACGCAGGAGAAGGACCTTCACCCCATGCACCCCACGCAGCCGTACCACCTTCACCCCATGCACCCCACGCAGCCGTACCACCTTCACCCCATGCACCCCACGCAGCCGTACCACCTTCACCCCATGCACCCCACGCAGCCGTACCACCTTCACCCCATGCACCCCACGCAGCCGTACCACCTTCACCCCATGCACCCCACGCAGCCGTACCACCTTCACCCCATGCACCCCACGCAGCCGTACCACCTTCACCCCATGCACCCCACGCAGCCGTACCACCTTCACCCCATGCACCCCACGCAGCCGTACCACCTTCACCCCATGCACCCCACGCAGCCGTACCACCTTCACCCCATGCACCCCACGCAGCCGTACCACCTTCACCTTGGATGCGCCAACACTGCACTGCAGTGAGGCTGGGGGCCTAGGAGTCGGCTCATAAACGCACCTGACATGCCCGAGACGATCTCAGGGGCAGCGAGCTTGAAGAAAGGCAGGCACTCCCGCCTCCCGTGCAATGGCATGGGCCAGCAATCGTCTTGCCTCACCCAGGAGGGACGTGCACTAACTGAGGCGCACTGAAACAAAGAAACGGCATACCTGACATGCCCGAGACGATTTCAGGGGCAGCGATCTTGAAGAAAGGCACTCCCGCCTCCCGTGCAATGGCATGGGCCAGCATCGTCTTGCCACACCCAGGAGGCCCGTGCAGCAAAACTCCTCTCGGAGGTTCGACGCCGAGCCAAGCGTACAGCTCCGGATGCGCCAGCGGGTACAGGATCAGCTCCCGAACCTGCTCCACCACCCCGTCGATTCCTCCGAAATCCGCAAACCGGACCTCCCGAGGCGCGGCCCGGGCTGAACCTCCATCTCCCGGACCTGCTTCGTCTGGGAAGATGTCCGCCACACCCGAACCTCTAGCTCCGGCCTTCTTCTTCCCTTTAGTGCCCACCCGCTTTATCCTGTCCCTCAAAAGATCTCTGCTGGTGTCGCCACCTTTACTCAACCCCTCTGACTGCCTCTCGCGTTCCGACCCTCTCCCCCCCTCACTCACCCTCCCCCTTTCAGACACCCTGTTCGTCCCCTCCTCAGCCACTTCCATCCCTTCCTCCTCCTCCACTCCCCCCAGTTTCTTACCAGCTGCTAGTCCCCCCACCTCTACTCTATTTTGCGAACTCACTGCCTTTCTGCCCCCTGCCTCTCGGCTCCCTCCTGTACCCCCTCCTCTGCTCCCTCTCTGCTTGCTCCCCTGGCTCTCTGTGCTCATAGCAGGACCGGCAGTGCTCAAACTGGCGCCACCGGCACTTAAACTAGTGCCGCCAGCACTTAAAGAAACACCACTAACGGTTTTCTTCTCTTGCAGATGATTCTCTTTGAGCCTAGCAGCTGCTGCTGCCTTTACCCCTGCTCCTGCTGTTCCTGCTCCTGTTCCTGCTGCCGCTGCTCCTGCTGCCAGTGGCCTTGCTCCTGCTACTACAATATCAGTGGTGCCCTTATCCGCTCCCTGTTTAGTGGCATCCGTTACAATCACATCCTTCTCCTTTCGCTTCACGCCCCTTCTCTCTCCCTGCTGCTGCTGTCCCTGATTCCGCTGCAGCTGAAGCTGCTCCAACGCTTCTCCTGCTGCATCAACACCAGGAGCAACGGCTACTCCATTCCCGATTGCTACTCCATTCCCAACCACTGGCACGGCAGAAACTGAAACACCAGCAGCAGAAGCAGCAGCAGCAACTGCTGCGGCGGCGGCAGCAGCTGCTGCGGCGGCGGCAGCGACAGCAGAAGCAGCATTTGCAGTAGCGACAGCGGCAGTACTGGCACCAGCAGCAGAAGCAGGGGTGCCAGGAACAACAATAGGGTTAGCAGCAGCAGCAGCACCTGCGCTCACTTGCTTCCCTTTGCCAGCCAGTCGCTCCGCCTCCCTAAGAGCTGCTGCCTTGATAGCACTCAGAGGCGCAAACGCAGGAGCTGAAGCAGCTTTGCCTCCTCCGCTTCCTCCTCCTGCTCCTGGCCTTTCACCTTTCCCTGCCGATTTCCCTGCTTCCACTGCCTTATCCCCCCCTTTCCCTTCCCCCTTCCCTTCTCCCTTCCCTCCTCCTGGTGTTCCTGCCTTGTCGTAAGTCTTCCTGAGAGCAGTGTTAAGGAGATTAAAGCCGCGTGTACCTATGTCCTTAGGGCTCTCTGGTGGCTCCTCACTCTCTCCCTCACTCTCTCCCTCACTCGCTCCCTCACTCTCTCCCTCACTCTCTCCCTCACTCCACTCCACGCTCATCGCCTCATTCTCCCCCTCCACACTCTCTCCCGCTTCACTCCCCACCTCTCCATCCCCCTTTTCCTCTCTCCCTTCCTTACCACCCCCACCCACAGCCCCCCCAGCGTTATCCTTCCCTCCCCCTTGCTTCCCCGCGCCCTCCTTCCGCGCTCCCCCTTTGCGCTTCTCCGCCAAGCCCAAACTTCCGCTAGTCCCCGCTAAACCCTCAACCCCGATTAAACCCTTTCCATCAGGTTTCTTCCCTGTGCTCACCCCCGCTTCCCCTTCTCCCTCAGCCTCCGCCTTCCCTTCCCCCTCCCCTTCCGCCTCCCTTCCCCTTCATCTCCCCCCTCCGCCTCCACTATCCCCCTTGCGCGCATGTGCGCCTGCTCCAGCTGCGACAGGCGCTGGTCCTCCGCCCCTCCCCCTTCCGCCTGCCCGCCTTCCGCCTTCTTCTTCCCCCGTACGCTCGCCTCAAACTCCGCCTGCTCGCGGCTCATTCCCCCCTCCAGCCGCTGCTGCGCCGCCTGTAGAAGGAAGGGGGGAGAGGCCGGGGAGGGAAGAGGGAAGCGGCGGAAGGAGGGGGAGGTGGGGGGGAAGAGGGGGGAGGGGGGTAGGAGAGGGGGGGGGGGCAGGGCGGGTGCGAGGTGTGGGTTGGGGGAGGGGAGGGGGCGTTCATAAAAGTATCACGCTTACTTGAACAAAACTTTTTTTAGAGTTTTTAGCTAAAGAAGCATCACAGGCATCGTTTAACTGACTGGTATCAAGGGCTTCAGTGAAATTCCCGAATTCAACGATCCACGGTTGACGTACCTCCACCGCTTTAGTCACGCTTTTTAAGAACGGCCCTTGCGGCTTGCGCTGATAATCCCGAGGATGAGCTTCGCGAAGTTTCAGTGCAACGTCTTCCACGGTCACGTAATCGTTATCGGCCAATATCTTCTCGACACGTGTCACCAATTGCGGATCCATAATGTAAACATTTCCTGGTCGGGGTTTAGCGGGATTTGTTAGTGGAATTCCCGATTGTGGCACATTCGCTTTTGCACCACCCTGTGAAGCTCCCGGACTGAACCGTCCGGGATTTGGGGAATGGTGCGGCGACTGCTGCTTTCGGCGCTTCGACTTCGCCATATTTTGTGACTAAGAGATAATGTTGACGTTCACCGTTCAAGGACACGTGGCCGCCACGCTGCTGACAGAGAGGTAACGATTCTGTTACCGTTCAGTAGAACGTGACCGTTGCCCTCGCTACAGATTCGCAAAATGCTGGAAAATTCCGCCTGTACAGCCGCTGCTTTCTGAACTGAGGCCGCGACCAAATAATAACGAAGTTGTCTGAAGCCGTGTTTACCTAACAACGGGAAACGAGGGACCCTGTCTACTCATGTATTAATTTGCGACTAAAGATGTAAGAGGGAGGCGAAGTATGGGATGTTGAACGAGGGTGATGTGAGGCCTTGTGGGAAGGTGCAGGTTAGGACTTGGGAGGGTTGAGGGTTCGGGTGATGAATTCACACCAACAGGTGTACAGTTTCAGAAGCACAGAAATGGAGGGTATGACAGTAAGACCGCTCAGAAGCACACAGCGCCGTGCTCAACCGTTCTATAAAAACTAAATATTGAACTATACGTCTTGTGTCAGAAAAACGCGTGCGACAGGGGAGGTTGGTACGAAGGGCTCGTTTTTTGAAGTCAAAGAGACCTGATACAGACGAGCCAGTTGAAATCGTTGGCCAATCTCTGTTATTGGCTGGTGAGCGTGGCATAGCAGAATGAACGAATCAGATTTTTTTGGAAACCTACATGGAACCCGAATTCTCATGACCGCTTTTCTTAGGAACGACGACACCAGACGAGAAATCACGGATTCTTGAATCAGCTCATCCTGTCGCAAAACACGCCATGGCACATGCACCTCTCTTCAGATGTCAGATTTTATGACCGTCCAGATAGGAGTTGAATATCATCGCTCGAGTTCAGAATCCAGATAGATGACAGTGCATCACAAGAAGACATCAGGCACATTGCTCTAGTCTGCTTCTGATGCCGTAATCCAGCCACGGATGTTTGAGAAAATCGTAACGCCACCAACTTTTACAGTCTAAGCGTGAATCTTGCAGCAAATCCTCTTCTTTCGGGTCTAGTCTGCTGATACTACGCAAGCGAAGTTACCATTCTCACGCGATTTTTTCGCTCCACGGGGATCGTCGGAAGAAGTCTTCGTGCACAGTCGCCCTCCTGGTTCAGCGCTCGCTGTTCTATGATAGATAGTAATGCCGGCTAAGTTTTCGGAGCGTCTTCCGAGTGTGTCTACTCGCTGTTTGAAGCACATTCGTTAGCCGCACTTCATGCTCTAAGGTCGCATTGGTTTCCCTTCGGTAGTTACTAACCATGGCAACCGCGGCTTTGAAAAAGCCAGCGGCCCGCGTTATAATCACTCGTAGTCAATTAGAAACGATTGCGTTGCTGGTAATCGTACTTATCAACCCGCTTTTATCGGTCACGGCGTCACCAGACCATTCGTCATCGTCTACATGGAAATTTCTGTCGCCTGACGGCCGTCAAGTCTCGTCTGACACAGCTAGCGCTCGAGGGACGGAGTTACCGGCCGCCTTTAGCAAAAGCAGACGACCGGAATTAGTCACCGGTAGCGATTGGATGCCGACCAGAAGCTTCGCTGGAACTTTCCAGCCGCTGAGCAGTAGTAGTCCGGCAGGGAGTTACCGGCCGTCAACTAGTGCTGGCAGGAGACTGCCGGCAATTCGCGACCCGCTTTTGGAGCTGATTCTGCCGTGCGAGGAATGGGAGGGGTGTGACTGGAACGATGTGACTGAAACGGGGGGAAAGGGAGAGCTGGAGGAGGGGAGAGGGTTGGGGAATGGGTTATCTGAAACGGCTATAGACATCGGGCATCAAGCGGGATTGAGGCTCGGAGAGATGGACGGCGGAGATGAACCCGAGGGATCAGGGCTGGGTCAGATGGACGGCGAGGATCTGCGAAATGGTGATGGTGGAGGGAAGGATTTCGGTAAACATAGTGGGGGTGTTGAGTTGAATGCGGGAGAAGAGAGAGGTTTGGAGAGTGCGGAGGTGTTGGATAGTAAGGAGGAGAGGGAGGAGCTTGAAATGAGTGGTGATGCGGGGGAAGAGAGCGAGGAGAACGATGATGAGGAGGAGGAAGAGGGGGAGCAAGAGGAGGAAGGGGAGGCAGAAGAGGCAGCAGACGAGGATGAGGAAGATATTATTGAAAATCTCTTTAGGGAGATTGGTAAATGGAAGGGGGAAAGGAGTTCACAAAGTGAAGGGCAGGGGGATACCGACCCCAGGGCGGGAGAGAGCACGGGGGGTAGTAGAGTTGGCAAGCGGGAAGAGGGGAAGAACAGTGGGGTGAGGGCGGTGAGGGAAGCGAGGGAAGAGAGTGGAAAGAGGCGAGGTGTGAGTGGGGTTCCTAAGGGGGTCAGAAGGGGCGGGAGGACGGGGAGACGAAGGCTGGTGGACGGATGGATGGCAGGAGTGCCGGAGAATACGGAGAGGACAGCAATTGAAAGGCCAAGCAGGAGGAGGAGAAAGGCAAGCAAGAAAAGGAGGAGGTTGGTGGATGGGTGGGTGGCTGGGCCGCAGGAGAAAGGAGAGTCGGCGTTCCGGTGGCGGAACGAGGTGGGGGATGAGGAGGAGATGCTGACTCAGCACCACGACAGCTACCAATGGCAGTGGCCCGTGGCGCGGCTGGGCGACAGCTGGCGCGGCATGTTCATGCGGGAAGCCCGATACGACATCGCGGTAAGCACTTAGTTAAGTGTTGCTGGTGGAGATTTTGTTGCTGGGCAACAGCTGGCGCTGCATGTTCATGCACGAAGCTCAATATGACATCGCGGTAAGTTCTTAACTAAGTGAAGTGTTTAGCCAGGGAGATGCTGTTGCTGCTGCTGCTGACTCAGCACCAGCACCACAACAGCTGGCGGGGCATGTTCATAATCCGAAGGACGTGATTAGGTCTCACTGTGAGCGTTATGTGAAGTGTTTAGCCAACGAAACCTGCCTCTCACTCTTCCACTCTGCTCTCCCCCCTCCCCCACAGAACACCCCCTCATGCAAGGACATCCTCCCCCCGCCAGCCTACACCAACCTCCCCATTCTCGGCCGCGACTCTCATCTTCTCACCATCCCTCTCCTCTCCTTCCCCTCCCACCCCTACAGAGCACCCCCTCATGCAAGGGCTTTTTCCTTCCACCAGCCTATGCCAACCTCCCCATTCTCCAGCTCCCCACCCCCATCTCCATTTCCAACCCCTCCCGCCCCTCCCTCCCCTCCCCCCCCCTCCCTCCCCTCTCCCACAGAGCACCCCCTCATGCAAGGGCATCCTCCCCTCTCCAGCCTACGCCAACCTCCCCATTCACGGCCACGGCTCTCATACTCTCACCTTCCCTCTCCCTTCCCTTCACTCCCTTCCCCATCCCTCCTTTTCCACAGAACACCCCATCGTGCAAGGGCATCCTCCCCCCGCCAGCCTACACCAACCTGCCCATTCACGGCCGCGACGCCAACGAAACCGAATTGAAGACCCTCGGCAACGTGCGGCGCCAACAGGAGAAGCACGAGCCCCTCCCGCTGGACCTCCTGCTCTCGTGGGCTAGGGTCGGGAAGGAGACGCAGCTGCCCATCTCGCAGGCGCTTCAGGGTGATACGCCCAGGGAGCGCTGGCTGATTTGGACGCCGCGGTTTGGGTTGGGGAACTCGCTGCGGGGATACACCTCGGCGTTCATCTTTGCTTTGCTGTCGGGACGAAGGTTCTTGCGCTGGCACGGGGGTTCTCACAAGAGGGTGAGTGTTTTTGGGGTGGGTTATGGTGTCTCAGAGTGTAAGGTGTAGGGTTTCAGGTGTTAGGGTGGGAAAGAAAAGGCGCGAACCCATTTCCCAATCCCTTTTGGATTCCAAGCCCTGCTGTAGGGAAGGAGGCTCCTCAGGTGGCCTGGGGGGGCTCACAAGAAGCTGAGGGAGGGGGAGAGTATGGGGCATGCAATTAGTATGAAAATGTTTGGCGTACTTACTACGGTACCCCTTTTCCTAAATACCCTCACCCTCCCCTCCTCATCATTCCATCATCCAATTTCCAGGTCCTGGAGCGTCTGTGCGATGCGTTCTACTGCGGGCTAGACGAGTTGCACTATAAAGGGGATATGCGCAAGCACACAAAGCTCATGGAGGGGCGGGAGCTTGTGATCCACGGGCTCAACTATTACTCCCCTGTCATGGCTGTCACCTCGGGTATGGTTTTTGTTTCAAGGTTGGGGATGTGGGCTTTACGGCATGAACAGATGGGGGCTTGATTGATCCATGGGCTCAACTGATCCTCTGTCATGGCTGTCGACTTGTGTATGCCCCTTGTTCCATCGGCGTATTTGAGTGTATGCAAATGCAGGTGAGTGGAGGCCAGTGCAGGCTTTCTCCTCCCACCTCCTTGCGCCCCCCCCTCATCCCTGAGTAGAGTCACTCTACAACGCACTCTACAACGGGAGTAGACTACGTAATAGGGCACATGGTTGTGCGGCTAATCGTAGCGTTATATTAGCGTTCTCACTGCTTGCTGTGTTCACAGAGAAATTTGACAAAAAATTCACTAGCAAAAAGAATCGAACAACATTAGCAAGAAAGGCATTGCAACACGTAGCAACCATTCTGCAAAGCGAACTGCTATCACAGCAGAAGAGCGGCTTGCCAACGATGCAGCAGGGAGGCCTACCAGTGTTGCATCCAAAGCGGTCAGCCAGCACTGCAGTCGCAGGTGAGCATGTGCGTCACCTACCAAGTAAGTAGGTGCAGGTATGATTGTTGCACATTGCGCAGATGTCAGGTTGAATACGTGTCGACGATTTCGCCAGATATCCACCGTCGAGCACGTGATGCCGTTTCGCAGATCGACTTCGCCAAAACCTCGTGGGAAAAATTCGCACACCCCCGCAGAATTTCGTAGTCGAGCAAATTCGAAAGACCAGTTCGCTGAGACGAGTCTCGCCGAATAGCCCCTGTCGGTCAGAGAACGGGCTCGTCGACGACCATTCTCGTCGACCAGCAAGGTCTGTCATCGACATCGGAATCCCGTTGAACAGGGTAGGGTGGGGGCATTGTTGACAATCACTGCCGTCGACTAGCGAGAGCCCATTCGATGACCACTTCGTCGAATCCACCCTATTGGCATCAAGACGACTGTGCCGAAGCGAGGGCGGGGCCTTTCACTTCGACACTCCCCTCCCCTCCCCTCCCCTCCCCTGCTCGCCCTCACCTGCTGCATTCTTTGACACCTTTTGGCGCCAGAATTTTCCGATCAACTTCCGCGGCCGCTCCATCTGCTGCATCCAGTCTCAAGTGCTCTCTCTCGTCCTCCTCCCCTTTACACACCCTCCCCCCTCTCCCCCCCACCCCTCCCTCCCCCCTCTCACCCCAGATGCGTGCACTACGCCTTCCATGGCCGCTCCCTTTGGTGCATCCACTGTGCTCTCTTTCCTCCTGATCCCCCTTGCACTCCCTCCTCCTCCCCCTACCCCATTCATTCCCACCAGGAGCGTTCTTTGACGCATTTTGGCGCCGGGACCCTCAGATCAACCAGTGCATGCACGATGCCTCTCTCTCCTGTCATCAGTATCCCCTCTCCTTCCCCTCCCCTGCTCGTCCCCACCACCAGGAGCGTTTTTCGATGCCTTTTGGCGAAGAAATCCTCAGATCAACCAGTGTGTGCACGACGCATTCAACTGCCGCTCCCTCTGGTGCATTCAATCGCAAGTGCTCTCCCTCCTCCTCGGCAAAGGGCCAAGGCCGGGGGTGCAAGAGGTGGTTGATAGAGACTTGAGGGTGGTGCCGCCGCTGGTGTTCCGAGGGGGAGGGATGGGGATGGAGGAGGGGGAGGCGAAGGGGGGAAAGGTGGAGCCGCAGATGGTTGCCAAAGGGGAGGGCTGGAAGCTGCAGTTTGACTTGTCAATTCACATCCGTGGACATTCAGTGTAAGTGCAAAGCATGCAGGATCAGCTATGCTTAGTGTAAGTTTGAAGGGTGCGTTATTGGTTGTTGTCTGCTAAACATGAGGAACGGGCGAACTCAAACGTGATTGCTAGAGGATGCCTGGATTGGAGAAACACGGCTGACCACGGTCGGATTTCGAATCCCGCTCTATTCTTGGAGATGTAGGCTAAGTGGAGAAAGATGCACAGGACGCAGGCCAAGATGCAGGACGCTTGGCCGGATTTTTTTCGGGCTGACTGAAAAAAAAAAGTTAGGGCGTGAAATTGACAATATTTTCGACGCGACAGTTACATTCGCGAAATCAGGACCCCCCCACCTAACCCCCCCCCCTAACCCCCCCCCACCTTCCTATTGAAAACGAAGTCAGGAAGCGCCCCAAACAGAATTACGCCCAAGGGTTTACCTCACACCAACTAGAACCCCAACCAAAGGGCTTTGTTCTCACTTAAGGAGAACAAGGCCTTAATTTGGGGTACACACCTTGGTTTTCCAGAATTATCCTTCGTAAACCCTACCTTAGAATTCTCCGTCGTAAACCCTAAACCTGGAAAAAAAATACGTGGGGATAATCTTGTTTATGTGTAGTTATGTCCTTCTACCCCTCCTCCCCATGCCCTATGTGAGGTTTTTTTGCCTGCCCGTACGTTCTATTTAGCCTGCCTGGCCCTGCGTCTGTTTAGCGTCTCGGGGACCCTGAAAAGTAAGTCCTGCGTCTAAAGCGTTGCGTCTGGACGCTAGCGTCCAAGACGCAGGACACGTCTTTCTCCACATAGGTTGTAGGACATGTGGTTCTTTGGGTGAAGGGTTGGGGTTTTCCATTGAGATTTTGTGGTGACGTAGTAGAGGAAGGGTTGGGGTTTTCCAATGAGATTCTGTGATGACGTAGTGGATGAAGGGTTGGGTTTCCTGGATTCTAAGGGGTGGAGGGTGGTTTGAGTATTGTTGTGCTTGGGGCCTGTTTTGGGGGGGTCAAATGTCGAGTTCAATTTTGCGGGTCGCGTTTTGGGCAAGGAAATGTGACCCTCGAAAAGTGTAGCAATTGTTTTTTTTTCGATTCCGGGCTGCCCAAAAAACATTTGGCCAGAACGTCAAGCGATTTGATGCTTGAATCTAGAGGTTTCTGGCGTCAAATCCATCATAGGTCGAAAGTACGCCTTGTACGCCAGTGTCGGTGCCGTATAATATTTATGTCGGTGGCTGAATTTCAAAATACGACAAATAGAGAGAACGTTATAGAATCAGAGTAGTAGTTTCCTTGAGGTGAACTAAAGAAAGAGGAAAATAAAGATAATAAAATGAAGGAAAAATATGAAAATAGAGACCAGAGCAATGTCCTTAACCAAGGATGGTGAAATGGTGAAGCCATATATATATGGCTGAGCTCTTGAGGCTAGGTGCAGCACCTCAAAGTTGAGGTCAAGGTTAGACTTTCCATCCCTTTTGACTCTCTCCTCCGTCTCCTTTCATTTCTTTCTCCAACCAGCAATGTGAAGGGCGATCACTGCAGTGCAGGGACAAGGACACGCGGTGCAAGGAGAGAGCCTAGCAGGGAGGCTGAGCACTGCGAGTGACATCCAATCTCTTTTTTTTATCCGCGTGTCAGCCCCACCTTTTCCCAAGCAGCAACGTGGAGGGCGATCACTGCAGGGACAATAAGGACGTCAAATGCCAAGAGAGAGCGCAGCAGGCGGAGCTGAGAGCTGTGATTGTCCCTCAGTTTCTCCTACACCCCCTTTCCATCTCTTCCGTCCGCCCCATTCCTTTCCCCGACCAGCAACGTGGAGGGCGATCACTGCGGGGACAAGGACACGCGGTGCCAGGAGAGAGCACAGCAGGCGGAGATCTCCCGAGCGCACAACCTGATGAAGCCCAACCGCTGGCGCTGCATCGCCAGGCTGGCGCAGTTCCTGCGCGTCAAGAAGGCTGCTGCCGGCGGCTTCCCCAACGCCACAGCCGCCGCTGCCGCCTGGTTTGCCAGCGCTACAGCCGGCACTGACGGGAATGTCAATGCGACAGCTGCCAACAAGTCAAGTGAAGGTACAGCGTCGGCATCAAGCAAAGGCTCGGCCAAACCTCCGCTAATCAAAGCTACAACTCCAGCAGGTGCAAGTGTCAGCATGGCAATCATTGCTACCACTCCCAATGTGACAGCCTCTTCCAAAGCCACAGCCGCCGCACCAGCCCCTGCTTCATCATCGCCCCTATCTCCCACCCTTTTAGCACCAGACCCTTCACCATCAGTGCCTGCATCCCTGACTGCACCCTCCAGTGCCGCATCTCCATCTCCTTCTGCCCTCCCCTCCGCCCCATCCCCACGTTCAGAATCAGCGCCTTCCTCTGCTGGTGCTCCTTCGCCTTCTCCTCATCCTAACGACACCACCGCCATATCCTCTTTATTAGCAGCTTCGAGTACGAAGCGGCGCCTGCTGGAGTATTCGCAGCAGCGAAGTGCTAAAGTAGGGACGAAGTTGAACAGGAGAAGGAAGCTTCAGCAAAGGAGAACGTTGCAGGAATGGACAGTTGAAGACTCAAATCTTGTGGCCTCGATTGTGCCACCTGGCGGGCCCTCAGCCTCTCATCTAGGCCATCTGAGGATATTTGTGGCGACAGATACTGATATTCTTCGATCGCAAGTTGTGGAAATTTTACGACCTTTTGGCGAGGTGTATTTCTCAGTTTCGCCGGCAGTTCACTTGTCAAAAACGGGTGGGAGTCATCTCGCAACGTTGGCCGATTTTGTGCTTCTAGGCAAAGCAGCGGTTTTGGCGAGCTTCACTCGATATATTAGCACATTCGCGTTGTTTGCAGGCATGCTGGGTAATGGGACCCTTGTGGCTGATCCCGCATCAGATCATACGTGCCGCTTTGTTGTGGAGCATATGGGAGAGTTGTCACCTTGAAGTGGAAGAATGTCACATTTTTGTTTAGGTTTTTTTTTTTTTTTTTTTTTGATAATGCAAGTTACACTATAGCAGTGCATACAAGCATTGACAGTCGTAACTGTAGCCGATGGGCCTTGATAGCAACCAGCCATCGCACCCATCCTGACACTTTACGGGGGGCGGTAGAACGTGCGCGGGTTGGCCCAGATGGATGTGAAACCACTGGTCCACGCAAGCGACTTAGCTGAGGTGTCACAGATCCTGCGCATAAGACGGAACTCATCCGGGTCCAGCCGCTCTAAGGTAGAGTGCTGCCCCGGCCCTAGCATAAAACCAGCTGCCTTGCTTCCCTTTTTGGCCCGTAGGTAAACCCTCGCGTGGGTGTAGAAAGTCGCTGCAATTTTCCGCAAAACCCTTTTGGACCGGAACTGCCCTCTCTCAAAAGCCGCATCACACTTTGTTTAGGTTTCTAGTTTATTCTTGCTACTTATTTATACACACGAGAGCCGCCACTATGGCGGATAACTGAAGGCAAGGTTGGTTGGTATGGTAGGATCGACCGTTCAATTCAAGTAATGCGAAAGTATGGCTGTAGCTTTCGCCGAGAGAGCCGCTTGTCGTCGATTACCCTGACGTGTAACGCGGTTTCCAGTGAACTCCCAGCAAAGCAAAGCAAAACGAGCGACGCATTAGTGAGACACAGCTGTGCGATTTCGTCCATGCGAAACACTTGCGAATTCTTGAGGCACCTTGCCAGCTTTCAACATCATCGAGGTGAGAGAGGGCTGCACCTTTGTCTGCTCGTCGACAAATAATGGTTCGGTGTGTTCTAATACGGTAACCAGCGGTTCATGGCAAGTTCTGTCTGCTTCGGGAATCTAATGTCGCTGGTCACAGCACTTAGCATTAGAAGAGCATATTATTCGGCTGGCACCGCGCATTTACTGGCTTTGTTGTGGACCTTGTCCTTGTCAGACAGAGTCGGTAGGAACTTCTTCGCGAAATAGGAGCATTTTTGTTGTCGAAGTAGGAGCATCTACTTTTGAGCGTCCACATTCCTTGAACTCATTGATGCCATGAAGTTGCATGCATTCTGTTATGTAGGGGCATTCGACTAGTACAGTCTCCCTAACTTGCATATGTCCAGTCTCCATACCACTCAGTGAGAGGAAGGAGCGGCGCAGGAACAGTCGTGGCGAGAGCCAAGGCTTTGATTTTAGCGAACGCGTTGGCGAGCCTGTTGCGGAGAAGGTGACCTTTGAGTCGGCTTAGGGTTACCTGGTTCGTGGCGAGTAGCAAAGCTTTGATCCTAGCGAACGCGTTAGCGAGTCTGTTGCGAAAGAAGAGAGGCAAGGGGGAAAGGAAGACACGGAAGAAAAGGAGCGCTTTTGAAATGACGACGGAACGAGGTAGGTAGACGAGCTCGTAATTAATATAGTAGGCTATTCCAGTATTACTACTATAGTATGCTAATTTCTTGCTTCGTCCTTCCTCTGGCGGTATGAGAATATTTAATTATTAGTTATTTTTTTATTTCATTTTTTTCTGAATGAATGCATTTAGTGGTGATTTGGCCTTTTTTTTCCAGAACGGTCTTTCCCTCTGGCCTTCCTGGTTTGATAATTCGAAACAGTCTCGCTCCTTGTTAAATCGTAGAATTTCCGAAACTGAACACGACCTAATTGATTGTTGAAAACCAAAGATGCTCCCGTCCCCTCAAGATAACTCTTAAATTCACTCTTGAAGGCAACCTGCTTCGCTTGAAGGCAACCCGATTCGCTTGTTTGATTAATCCCCGACAATTCTGAAACTCGTTCCTCTTTCCACCCCCACTCCACCCACATCCACCTCCCTGGCCCTCCCTCTCCCCCTCCCCCCCGCGCCTTCTCCCCTTCCGCCCACTCTCCTCTCCAGATGCTTCCCTCCATTCGCGGAAACTGTGAAGTCCATTCTCCAAGGCATCCCAACCTGCATGATTGAAAAGTCAGTCTCTAAGATACTCCACTCCAGGATGCCTCCTCTACAAACCATGGCCGCAGTTACCAACAGCTCTGACCCAGACATGCTGACTCAAAAAACTTGCATTCTCAGTCTCAAAGACTCTCCTCCCCATGCATCCGACATGCCGACTCAAGACAGCTCCATTCTAGATCTAAATGATGACGTCATCATCAACATCTTCAGGCGCCTTCCAGGAAGGCGCGGCAATTTCGCTCACGCGCTCGTCTGCCGTCACTGGCGCCGCCTGGCCTACGAAGCCCTCGTTTCAATCACATTCGAGCAGGACCGGCGCTGCCGAATCCTCCTTTCCCTCCTTAACTTCCCGAACCTAGCTTCGCTAACCTTTCCTGATAACTCCCTGGCTTGGACTTCCGATTCTATTCTGGAAACAGTTTCTAAGTACTGCCCGAACCTGAGGGAGCTTCGGATAGGGCACCAAGGCTACGGGGCCACGTTCGGGGAGACGGGGCTGAAGGCGATTTTTCGCGGCTGCCCGAAGCTGGAGGTGTTCACTTTTGAGAGCTTAAACCGCTCGCCAGTGGCGATCCCGGGAGAACTCGGGCAGGCGAGAAAACTTAAGCTGCTCAAGATTGGAAAATGGGAGAACGGATTCTGGGATGATTCCAACCTTGAAAGCATGCCCGAAACACTGGGCAGCCTGACAGAACTTTCTGAGCTGACCATCGCTAGCGACAAACTTTCTCACCTGCCCGACGTTTTTGGCCCACTGGTAGGCTCCCTCCGTTCAGTGCGCATCCGTTCGATGGAACTTTCTTTCCTGCCCGACTCAATGACTCTGCTAACTTCGTTGACTAGCCTGGAGCTCGAATGCATGGTGCTTTCGAACCTGCCTGAAGCCATCCATTCTCTTTCTGCCCTGACCAGCCTTTCACTCTCTTGCTGCGGCACTTTGTCCCACCTGCCCGAAACTCTGGGCAGCTTGCCGCAACTCACACAGCTTAAACTTCATTCCTGCCGATCTATTTCCGGGCTGCCCACATCAACAACCGCCCTTTCCTCCCTAGAGACCCTCACCATTTCCCGCTGTGCTTCTTTTGCTGCCCTGCCCAAGATCTGCGGGCGGCTAAAATCCCTCCGCACCCTGCACCTGGACGTTTTTGAAGTTTTGGAGTCACTGCCCGAGTCTATAGGCGACCTGCAGAAGCTAGAAAAGGTTTTCTTATCAGCCCCGGGCATCAAATCTCTCCCGAACTCATTTGGACGGCTGAGATCTCTCCGAGAGATTGAGATGGAGGGTTGCGAGAAGCTCTGGTACATACCATCATCATTCGGGCAGCTTTCAAATCTTCGGGTTCTGCGGATCATCCAGTGCCCAATGCTCAGCAGTCTGCCCGGAACTTGCGGGCAGCTTTTCGGGCTGGAGGAATTTGTGGTGGGAGAATGTGGGCATTTTCACGTGCCTCCAGCTCTATCAAGCATTGTGACGTTTGAAAGCCCGAACTTCTCGCTGCTGCAGATTTAGAGGAGTTGGTATTTGGTAGAAGGGCATGGTTTCACTCTCAGGTTTGTCGTTTCGTGCGTGTATGTATGCATATGCGTGTGTGCGCGTGCCTGTGTGTGCATGTGTCTGTGTGTCTATAATCTTCGTTTTATGTAAGGTACCCCTGCACTGATGTGAATCACATATATTTTTATGCACTCTCGAAATACCCAGCCGTATTGCCACACTTACTGTAGGGCAAAGTCACACCCCTCTCACTGACTCCCATTCCCCCTCACCACGTGTCCCCTTACAGGAACCAGCCCGTGAAATGTTCACCGGCACAATTGCTCTTATCACCATGGAAATTGGCAGCAGCAGCTGCAGCAGCAGCAGTGGCATTGGCACCAGCACCAGCAGCAACATCAGCAACATCACCACACCACCATCAGCAGCAGCACCATCAGCAGCACCACCATCCGCAGCAACACCGTCAGCAGCAGCACCATCAGCTCAGCAGCACCACCACTTTATCAGCAGCAGCAGCAGCACCACCATCAGCAGCAGCAGCAGCACCATCAGAAGCAGCACCACCATCAGCAGCAGCAGCAGCACCACCATCAGCAGCAGCAGCAGCACCATCAGCAGCAGCACCATCAGCAGCAGCACCAGCGGCAAAACCAGCAGGAGCTTCCTGGCGCTCCCGTGGCTTCTCTCCTTGTTGTCTGCTCCAATAAGAGCTGGTGGGCTAAAGAATTACTCTGATGCAAGAATTATACTAATGCACTAACCGAATCGTTTGCGGTAGATAGCTTTGAAAATCAATCAGAAGCCTGTGGTGATGTTCGTAGGTCAGCACCAGTCGAGTTCTGGTATTGATGCTAATTACAAATAAACTATCAACTGTATGTATAAAACATGTTACGGTACTGTTTTGCCTTACATTATTCTCCTTGTACAACAGCCTTTCAGGATGCTTGATATGTGCAAGAACACCGACAATAATGTGTACCCAACCTGACACAGTACAGTAGTATCAGCACTGCCCAAATCTGCATAGCAGACTCTTGCTATACAAGCCTATATACACTCACCAGACCACAATCTTGTTATACAAGCCTATATACACTCACCAGACTCTTGCAATACAAGCCTATTTGCGCTCACCAGACTCTTGCTATATGCCTATTTACACTCACCAGACTCTTGCTATACAAGCCTATTTACACTCACCAGACTCTTGCTATATGCCTATTTACACTCACCAGACTCTTGCTATACAAGCCTATTTACACTCACCAGACTCTTGCTATACAAGCCTAATTACACTCACCAGACTCTTGCTATATCACTGCCAGAACGGAACCTCATTCTACAGCCACTTGAACCGCTCTGAAGCTGAAGCCTCCAGCAGCAGCAGCACATCCAACCCCTCTGCTCCCCCAACCCCCTCCATCACCACTACCAAGCCATCATTGCATGGCAGCCTTGGTAAGCCCACATACCATGGCCGGTGCCACAATCCGCATCACCGTAAAAGCCTGTATACACAAGGCTCTTGCCAAATCAGCCCCAGAACGGAACCTCATTCCATAGCCTCTTGAATCGCTCTGAAGCTGCAGATTCCAGCAGCAGCAGCACGTCTAGTCCCTCTGCTGCCCCAACCCCCATCAACCTCGGTGTAGGCCCATACCAGACCCTACATCACTGCCAGAACGGAACCTCATTCCATAACCTCTTGAACCGCTCTGAGGCTGAAGCCTCCAGCAGCAGCAGCACATCCAACCCCTCTGCTCCCCCAATCCCTTCCATCACCACCACCATGCCATCATTGCATGGGAGTCTCGGCAAACCCACATACCACGGCCGGGAGCCAAAATCCGCATCATACATGCCCATATGCACCCATGACGTCAGCATGATGTCATCCCCAAAGAAAAACTTCATCCCGACTCGCACGGAGGAGAGGTTTCGTTGCTCCTTGAGGAATTCTATTGCGTCGCGCATGTAGATATTGGAGCAGCTTATAATGGATCGCCGGATTCTCCGCGCGACGAGGCGCAGGGCAGCAGGTGTTGTCTCCCTAAGCTCCGAAGCGGAATAACAAGATAAGGCGTTGTAAACTACATTTCCACAGTAATTTTCGGGCAGAGGAGGAATTAATCTTCTCCTGGCGTTGACTCCGGTGGTGAAACGGACATCTTTATTATGGCCTCTGGCTTGAGAGACTAAGAGGAGCATGAGTGCCGACACAGAGTCAATATTGCTGACGTAGGTGGGTCCTTGAGGGCCGTGATCCGTTGAATGGTCTTCTGATCTGGAATCCGACGGCCCTGGTGCGATGGAGCCATTCAACGGTCCAGATGCAACAGATTTGAGTGTTTTGAGCTGGTTGGGGGACAGGTGGAAGATGGAATGTGAGGTTGCAGGAAACACACGCTTTGCTGCTGCTGCTGCTGCTGCTGCTTTTGAAACTGTTGGTGCTGCTGCAACTGCTTCTGATGCATGTGATGCTGCTGTTTCTGTAGCTGCGGGCTTCAATGCTGCGGCTGCTGCTGCATGTGCAGGTTTTGCAGAAGGTTCTAGAACCTTCAACTCTGGATGAGGCAGTTTGGACCCAACTCCCTTCCCAAACAGCAGCGACCTGTCATGACAAATTACCTGCTGCTGCTCTGTACCACTCCTCACCCCTCTGTACCGCATCCCCCACATCTTCATGAATGTGAACATTCCCTCTCCGTCCATCAGGCAGTGACTAACATTTACACCGACAGCCATCCCGCCATCCGCTAGAATAGTAGCCTTGATGGAGATTAACTCAGTCCGCTCGCGCTCCGGCATTAATGACATAGGAAGGGAAGCCATGGCCTCGGTGGTTGTGAGAGTAGGGATGAGGTTTTGACAGGAAAGAGATTCTTCTCGGTCCAGGTCGGTTGGCCCTCGCACGGAATCCGGTAAGAAAGCTTTTGGGACTAGAGTGAATCTGATTGCTTTCGCGCCAGCCGCAAGGCATTCCCTCGTTTGTTGCACACTCGCTACGCCCGTTACAGGATCAACGTGCAATCTGCCCAGCATAATAGGGTAATCTTGTTCGATTAGATCCACGAATGACGCGCGAAGTCGATCCAAATCGTACGGTTTATTCATCAACTTCTCGGTTGTCTCGGCGAGCATATTAGTATGTGCCTCGGAAGACATTACAGCTTCAGCATAAATAGGTTCGTAAGGCCTATCTGAATCGGCAAGTGGTGCATACGTTCGGCTGGTAACTCTTCGAGGCTCGAGAGGGGGGGACTCGCGGGTTCTTGGAGGTTCGGGAGGCGGGAAAATGTTAAGTATGGTGAACCCAAACCGACCCATTACTGCATCTTGCGGAGATAATCGAATCATCTTATCCTCAATCGTAGCCGCCGCGCCAACAGTATTAGCAGCCTTAGCGCCAGCTTCTAGCTTATACGTTGCGGCGGAATTCTCGGTTTTAGCTACCATGATGGTCCAACGCGAACAAATAACAGATGAGCGCGGCCAGGCAAGAACGCGTGCGAGAGGTAGGAGGACTGGCGGCACGGAAAGAAATAGAAGATAGGTGAGCGAGAGAAGAGACGCTGGAAAGCTCGGAAAACAAGAATCAATTGCGGGTGTGCGGTACAAAGAACTAATATTGTGGAATGCATCGTGTCTGGAGTCTCGTTGGCAAGAATATTAGGACGTGTCTCACTTCCGACGAGTCTGCGAGCCGGTCCGCTCTTGGAAATGTTGCACCCCAAAACCGTGGACTGGTCCGCCGGACCAGGTTGAGTCCGTACTGGCGAACCAGCTTCGGACGGGTCCGCTGATGAAATCTACAGTGGCGTGAAGGCGAGAACACTGCGTGTTTTTCCCAACACTAGGTTACTGTGACTCGTAAGGGCTTCATGTCATTGGGCAATCCGCCATCGCGCGCTGTCAATTTTTGCGACACTTGTGGGGTGAGTTCGCAACTATTCGTGAAAAGACGACTGTTCAGGAGTCCGACGTGGACCAGCTCGCCGAACCAGTCAAGACTCCCCAGTACAGTTTTTTTCCGTCGTTAAAACACGCGGGTCCACGCTCCGGTCCACGCTCGGGTCCGTGGTGGTTTGGTGGACTGGTCCACGTCGACCGCCTAGATCCAGCGTGGACCGAAGATTTTGAGACACCTTCCGATACTGCAGCCGGGGCAACGGAGCAAATTTGGTAATGCCGTAGTACATATGGCCCGATTATCGAGATTTCACGCGGCGGGTCGGCCAAAAGACGAAGGGTAACCCGAGCTTCCGTGGGGACACGGGAATTTCACTTCTAGAAAGCCGGTTTTCCGCGCTCTCAAACGCAGACCCAGTTCGTCTCGCGATAGCGAATTTTTTGTCGGGTAACTATGTTTTGCGTTCGCACCCGTTTTCTCTCGGCATTTCGTCCTCTCTCAATCCCGTCGCGTGTGCACATTGCAGGTTGTGTCGCTGTAAGAGTACATATCCAGATTTCGTAGCGTGGCGGTCTCAGGCTATGGTTTCCTGGATCATTTATTGGAAATCATCGCGCGCTAATTCCCCACAAACAGTCAGGCTCGGACTAGGCTCGAGGGGAGTTCAGTTTGGTTTTGCGAGGCATGTACCATGTCCTGACGGCATGTACACAAACACCCAACACTCTGCTTGGACTGGACCACGTTACCGCATCGAAAAGTTTTGAAACCCTTTACAACATCTGTTTTAAAATTCTGGGGCTTCTACCCGTTAGTAAGCAGCCCATGGCAAACTTGGTACCAGGTCACGCATGTGTAATCATAAAAAGCTAACAAGATGCACTAGCTTCATTCCAATAATGAAGTGCACACTATTTTGTTCTGTTAACACCATTTTCTGGACCAAGCATTTTAGTGTCCTCGTACATCCTAAAGCACGCGTGTGGCATAACAACATCTATGTTTACTGGGTTATTTTGAAGGCCGGTAAGCCCATCCATGGGAGTGTAGAAAATGTTCAGCAGCATCCCTTGCTCCCCGGTTAGGAATGAGATGCTGACAAAAAAGAGGCCTCCTGGTTACTGGGTCAAACGAGTTGCCCTGAACAAAGAAAGAAATATTGAAACAAAATAAGGAACAGTCCAGGAAGACACATGAATGACACGGGGGTAAAACCAAACGAGTTTGATCAAGATTGATACCGTCTCGTCTCTCATACGTCACCTTATTGAGATTACATCACTCTGCTCGGGGTTATCGCGTAATTGATTAAATGGCACTCATATTTCTTCAGCACATTCTTGTAACACTCTTACCGTTTTGAGATGCTCCTCTATTGCCGATCGTTCGTATGTCACTCCGCTCGGTGTTATCACGGGATCGCGGAGAATGTCGAGCATGATGCGGCACGAGAGGTGCTCTGGCAGCTGGTGGGAGGGAGGGGGGGAAAGAGAGGAGAGAATGGCAGGGAGGAAGGAGGGAAGAGATGGGTTGATGGAAAATGTCGAGCATGATGCAACATGAGAGGTGCTCTGGTAGCTGGTGGGAGGATGGGGGGGTTTAAGCACAGTGTTGTGAATGACTACGGTGGTTATTCAAGAAATTGAACGAGGTGATTGGGAATCAATTAGGGTTCGAAGGAATACAAAGAATGCGCGCATGGTGGGGCAATGCCATGTGTTGGGGCAACAGCGTGTTGTGGCAAGTACCGTACCTGTACCCCGAAGTATCCCATTCGGCTCAGCACCTTTGCTTTCAGCTTGCCTGAATGGAGCAGCAGATAGAAGCAGAGAGCGGAAAAGCCAACTACCATACATACCTCGCCAGGAGTGTTCTCTGCCTGTGCCAGTAATGTTCGACTGGAGCACCAGAGAGAAGCAGAGGGGGCAGCAGAGAGAAGCAGAGGGGGCAGCAGAGAGAAGCAGAGGGGGCAGCAGATAGAAGCAGGGAGAGGAGCAGAGAAAAAGCCCAATACTACACGGGCCATACCTCACCAGGGGTGTCCTTTTCCTGTGTCGGTGACGTTTAAGTCGATTCGAAAGGAGAGCAGCAGAGAAAAAGCCTATACGGTCCATACCTCGCCAGGGTTGTCCTCTGCCTGTGCCAGTCGGAACACGTTGCTCAGCGCCTATGCTTTCTCAATGTACGACTGGAGCAGCAGGGAGTAGCAGAGAGAGCAGAGAGAAGCAGAGAGAGCAGAGAGTAGCAGAGAGAGCAGCAGAGAAAAAGCCCAGTACTATACCGTCCGTACCTCGCCCGGGGTGTCCTCTCTCTGTGCCAGTCGGAACACGTTGCTCAGCGCCTCTGCTTTCTCAATGTACGACTGGAGCAGCAGGGAGTAGCAGAGAGAGCAGAGAGTAGCAGAGAGAGCAGAGAGTAGCAGAGAGAGCAGCAGAGAAAAAGCCCAGTACTATACCGTCCGTACCTCGCCCGGGGTGTCCTCTCTCTGTGCCAGTCGGAACACGTTGCTCAGCGCCTCTGCTTTCTCCATGTACGACTGGAGCAGCAGGGAGTAGCAGAGGGAGGGCAGGCAATGAACCAAGTAAGTGCCATACCTCGCCCGGAGTGTCCTCTCCCTGTGCCAGTCGGAACACTTTAGCCACGTGTTTGAAGTATTGTTCTGAGACGTCTCAAAACACGTGGCTAAACCAAGTAAGTGCCATACCTCGCCCGGAGTGTCCTCTGCCTGTGCCAGTCGGAACACGTTGCTCAGCACCTCTGCCTTCTCAATGTATGATTGGAGCAGGAGAGAGCAGCAGAGAAAAAGCCCAACGCTATACCGTCCATACCTCGCCAGGGGTGTCCTCTCTCTGTGCCAATGTGAACACGTTGCTCAGCGCCTCTGCCTTCTCAATGTACGATTGGAGCAGCAGAGAGGCCGCCTCCTCCACTGCTGTCGCATCCTCTGCTGCATCCCCAGCTGCAGGCCCCGCTGACGTGGCATTGTCTGCTGACGTGGCATCTACGGCTGATGTGGCACCCTCTTTTGACAGGAGGCTGGCCTCTCTGGCCTGACCTTCGTTGTAGTCACACTGTGCCTGAGTGAACCCAGAACCAGACCCAGCTGCTGTGCTGCATCGGGTACAGTCACCCTTGATAGAATCACCTTGATCACAATCACACCTCCCTTCTTGCATACACCTGGTTTCTGTACAAACCCCTTCGATATAGTCACTCCTGCAACGCTGGTCCACTCCATCCTCGTTATAGTCACTCCTCTCTGCAGGCCGTAGCTGTCCTGCTGCTGCTAATGCCTCTCTTGGACCTGGCTCTGCTGCTATGCCTGCTGAACCATTCGCTGATGAACCATTTGCTGCGTCGACTTCACATCTGTCCATCCCTGCACCACCAAGCATTGCAACAGCTGCCTGGGAACCCCTGGGAGAAACACCACCAAGCATTGCAATGGTCGGGACTGCCACTGCCGTTGCTTCTCCTTCTCCTCTTACTGATAATGCTGCTGATTCCCCTGGTTCAACTGCAGGAGCAGAAGCAGTAGCAGCAGAAGGCAGGAAATGAGTAGCAGCGTTCCCTTCCCCTGATTCAACTGCCACTGCTGCTCCTGTTCCTGCTCTTACTGGATCAGATGGTGCTGCTGCTGCTGTTACTCCTCCCACTCGATCAGACTCCCCACCTAGTTCTGCTGCTGACGCAGTAGCAGACGCCCAAGCCGCCGCTGCTGCTGCTGCTGCTCCTCCTCCTGCTGCTCCTCCTCCTGCTGCTCCTCCTCCTGCTGCTGCTCCTCCTGCTGCTGCTCCTCCTCCTGCTGCTGCTCCTCCTGCTGCTGCTCCTCCTGCTGCTGCTCCTCCTCCTGCTGCTGCTCCTCCTGCTGCTCCTCCTCCTGCTGCTCCTCCTGCTGCTGCTCCTCCTGCTGCTCCTCCTCCTCCTGCTGCTGCTCCTCCTCCTGCTGCTGCTCCTCCTCCTGCTGCTGCTCCTCCTCCTGCTGCTGCTCCTCCTGCTGCTGCGGCTGCTGCTGCTGCTCCTCCTCCTCCTGTTGTTGCTGCTGCTGTTGCTACAGGGGGGGCACTGGTGGTGTTCGGCGCTCGGGGCACGGAGGGGCAGCAGCAGCTGCCTGGGAACCCCTGGGAGGAGAAGCACCCCCCTCTCGGCATCTGAGGGGATAGCGGCCCCCTCTAGAAAACACCTAAATACAGAAGCACACGTGGGGCATGCGAGTATGTGAGTGGCATGCGAGTATGTGAGTGGCATGCGAGTATGTGAGTGGCATGCGAGTATGTGAGTGGCATGCGAGTATGTGAGTGGGCATGCGAGCATGCGAGCGAGCGTGTGCGTGCCTCCCTAATTCCAATCCCCTAATTTCAATTCCCTAATTTCAATCCAGAAACAGAGTTTCGAGCTTACTTTTGAGCCGACTCAGAAGTCAACCATGAGTGAGCGTGTGTGCACACGCATGTGTGTTTGCCTACTTGCAGAATCAGCGCTCCCCCCTTTTGAGCCGAGGTGACTTTTGAGTCGACTCAAAAGGCATGTGTGTTTGCCTACTTGCAGAATCAGCGCTCCCCCCTTTTGAGCCGAGGTGACTTTTGAGTCGACTCAAAAGGCATGTGTGTTTGCCTACTTGCAGAATCAGCGCTCCCCCCTTTTGAGCCGAGGTGACTTTTGAGTCGACTCAAAAGGCATGTGTGTTTGCCTACTTGCAGAATCAGCGCTCCCCCCTTTTGAGCCGAGGTGACTTTTGAGTCGACTCAAAAGGCATGTGTGTTTGCCTACTTGCAGAATCAGCGCTCCCCCCTTTTGAGCCGAGGTGACTTTAGAGTCGACTCAAAAGGCATGTGTGTTTGCCTACTTGCAGAATCAGCGCTCCCCCCTTTTGAGCCGAGGTGACTTTTGAGTCGACTCAAAAGGCATGTGTGTTTGCCTACTTGCAGAATCAGCGCTCCCCCCTTTTGAGCCGAGGTGACTTTTGAGTCGACTCAAAAGGCATGTGTGTTTGCCTACTTGCAGAATCAGCGCTCCCCCCTTTTGAGCCGAGGTGACTTTTGAGTCGACTCAAAAGGCATGTGTGTTTGCCTACTTGCAGAATCAGCGCTCCCCCCTTTTGAGCCGACTCAAAAGCCCCCACCTCAGCTGCTGCTGCTGCTGCTGCTGCTGCTGCTTCTTTCTCAACCACGACTCCACCTCCCGTTGCCGATACCTTGTGTGCAAGTGCATACGCATGTGTGCAAGTGCATACGCATGCGTGCGCGTGAGTGTACATGCACGCCACGATAAAAAGCAGTGCTCCCCTGCCCCCTCCCCTCACCTCAGCTGCTGCTGCTTCCTCTTTCGCATCCACGATTCCACCTCCCACTGCCGGTACATTGCGTGTGTGCGTGTTCACATGGGTGTGTGCATGCGCATGCTCATACTTTCCACACCTGTGCGACCGACTCACCTCAGCTGCTGCTGCTTCCTCTTTCGCATCGACGATTCCACCTCCCACTGCCGGTACCTGGCAGTTGTGAGGAGGGGAATGATGGAGGAGACAGGAGGGAGGAGAGCAACCGAAGCATTAATTTGAGTCGCATCAAACAGAGAATCCACCTCCCACACGTCGTTCAGGTTGCCTGTGCTGCTGCCCAGCACTGCACGGAGCAGTGACGAATCACTCCTGAGCACCAGCTGCGTGCTCAGGAGTGACGAATGCAATGGCCGCTCGAAGCCCTGCCCGCCCACCCCACCCAACAACAGAGTCGCACAACCACCCACCTGGCAGTGGCCATTGCGTTCCACACGTCGTTCAGGTTGCCTGTGCTGCTGCCCAGCACTGCACGGAGCAGTGACGAATCACTCCTGAGCACCAGCTGCGTGCTCAGGAGTGACGAATGCAATGGCCGCTCGAAGCCCTGCCCGCCCACCCCACCCAACAACAGAGTCGCACAACCACCCACCTGGCAGTGGCCATTGCGTTCCACACGTCGTTCAGGTTGCCTGTGCTGCTGCCCAGCACTGCACGGAGCAGTGACGAATCACTCCTGAGCACCAGCTGCGTGCTCAGGAGTGACGAATGCAATGGCCGCTCGAAGCCCTGCCCGCCCACCCCACCCAACAACAGAGTCGCACAACCACCCACCTGGCAGTGGCCATTGCGTTCCACACGTCGTTCAGGTTGCCTGTGCTGCTGCCCAGCACTGCACGGAGCAGTGACGAATCACTCCTGAGCACCAGCTGCGTGCTCAGGAGTGACGAATGCAATGGCCGCTCGAAGCCCTGCCCGCCCACCCCACCCAACAACAGAGTCGCACAACCACCCACCTGGCAGTGGCCATTGCGTTCCACACGTCGTTCAGGTTGCCTGTGCTGCTGCCCAGCACTGCACGGAGCAGTGACGAATCACTCCTGAGCACCAGCTGCGTGCTCAGGAGTGACGAATGCAATGGCCGCTCGAAGCCCTGCCCGCCCACCCCACCCAACAACAGAGTCGCACAACCACCCACCTGGCAGTGGCCATTGCGTTCCACACGTCGTTCAGGTTGCCTGTGCTGCTGCCCAGCACTGCACGGAGCAGTGACGAATCACTCCTGAGCACCAGCTGCGTGCTCAGGAGTGACGAATGCAATGGCCGCTCGAAGCCCTGCCCGCCCACCCCACCCAACAACAGAGTCGCACAACCACCCACCTGGCAGTGGCCATTGCGTTCCACGCGTCGTTCAGGTTGCCTGTGCTGCTGCCCAGCACTGCACGGAGCAGTGACGAATCACTCCTGAGCACCAGCTGCGTGCTCAGGAGTGACGAATGCAATGGCCGCTCGAAGCCCTGCCCGCCCACCCCACCCAACAACAGAGTCGCACAACCACCCACCTGGCAGTGGCCATTGCGTTCCACACGTCGTTCAGGTTGCCTGTGCTGCTGCCCAGCACTGCACGGAGCAGTGACGAATCACTCCTGAGCACCAGCTGCGTGCTCAGGAGTGACGAATGCAATGGCCGCTCGAAGCCCTGCCCGCCCACCCCACCCAACAACAGAGTCGCACAACCACCCACCTGGCAGTGGCCATTGCGTTCCACACGTCGTTCAGGTTGCCTGTGCTGCTGCCCAGCACTGCACGGAGCAGTGACGAATCACTCCTGAGCACCAGCTGCGTGCTCAGGAGTGACGAATGCAATGGCCGCTCGAAGCCCTGCCCGCCCACCCCACCCAACAACAGAGTCGCACAACCACCCACCTGGCAGTGGCCATTGCGTTCCACACGTCGTTCAGGTTGCCTGTGCTGCTGCCCAGCACTGCACGGAGCAGTGACGAATCACTCCTGAGCACCAGCTGCGTGCTCAGGAGTGACGAATGCAATGGCCGCTCGAAGCCCTGCCCGCCCACCCCACCCAACAACAGAGTCGCACAACCACCCACCTGGCAGTGGCCATTGCGTTCCACACGTCGTTCAGGTTGCCTGTGCTGCTGCCCAGCACTGCACGGAGCAGTGACGAATCACTCCTGAGCACCAGCTGCGTGCTCAGGAGTGACGAATGCAATGGCCGCTCGAAGCCCTGCCCGCCCACCCCACCCAACAACAGAGTCGCACAACCACCCACCTGGCAGTGGCCATTGCGTTCCACACGTCGTTCAGGTTGCCTGTGCTGCTGCCCAGCACTGCACGGAGCAGTGACGAATCACTCCTGAGCACCAGCTGCGTGCTCAGGAGTGACGAATGCAATGGCCGCTCGAAGCCCTGCCCGCCCACCCCACCCAACAACAGAGTCGCACAACCACCCACCTGGCAGTGGCCATTGCGTTCCACACGTCGTTCAGGTTGCCTGTGCTGCTGCCCAGCACTGCACGGAGCAGTGACGAATCACTCCTGAGCACCAGCTGCGTGCTCAGGAGTGACGAATGCAATGGCCGCTCGAAGCCCTGCCCGCCCACCCCACCCAACAACAGAGTCGCACAACCACCCACCTGGCAGTGGCCATTGCGTTCCACACGTCGTTCAGGTTGCCTGTGCTGCTGCCCAGCACTGCACGGAGCAGTGACGAATCACTCCTGAGCACCAGCTGCGTGCTCAGGAGTGACGAATGCAATGGCCGCTCGAAGCCCTGCCCGCCCACCCCACCCAACAACAGAGTCGCACAACCACCCACCTGGCAGTGGCCATTGCGTTCCACACGTCGTTCAGGTTGCCTGTGCTGCTGCCCAGCACTGCACGGAGCAGTGACGAATCACTCCTGAGCACCAGCTGCGTGCTCAGGAGTGACGAATGCAATGGCCGCTCGAAGCCCTGCCCGCCCACCCCACCCAACAACAGAGTCGCACAACCACCCACCTGGCAGTGGCCATTGCGTTCCACACGTCGTTCAGGTTGCCTGTGCTGCTGCCCAGCACTGCACGGAGCAGTGACGAATCACTCCTGAGCACCAGCTGCGTGCTCAGGAGTGACGAATGCAATGGCCGCTCGAAGCCCTGCCCGCCCACCCCACCCAACAACAGAGTCGCACAACCACCCACCTGGCAGTGGCCATTGCGTTCCACACGTCGTTCAGGTTGCCTGTGCTGCTGCCCAGCACTGCACGGAGCAGTGACGAATCACTCCTGAGCACCAGCTGCGTGCTCAGGAGTGACGAATGCAATGGCCGCTCGAAGCCCTGCCCGCCCACCCCACCCAACAACAGAGTCGCACAACCACCCACCTGGCAGTGGCCATTGCGTTCCACACGTCGTTCAGGTTGCCTGTGCTGCTGCCCAGCACTGCACGGAGCAGTGACGAATCACTCCTGAGCACCAGCTGCGTGCTCAGGAGTGACGAATGCAATGGCCGCTCGAAGCCCTGCCCGCCCACCCCACCCAACAACAGAGTCGCACAACCACCCACCTGGCAGTGGCCATTGCGTTCCACACGTCGTTCAGGTTGCCTGTGCTGCTGCCCAGCACTGCACGGAGCAGTGACGAATCACTCCTGAGCACCAGCTGCGTGCTCAGGAGTGACGAATGCAATGGCCGCTCGAAGCCCTGCCCGCCCACCCCACCCAACAACAGAGTCGCACAACCACCCACCTGGCAGTGGCCATTGCGTTCCACACGTCGTTCAGGTTGCCTGTGCTGCTGCCCAGCACTGCACGGAGCAGTGACGAATCACTCCTGAGCACCAGCTGCGTGCTCAGGAGTGACGAATGCAATGGCCGCTCGAAGCCCTGCCCGCCCACCCCACCCAACAACAGAGTCGCACAACCACCCACCTGGCAGTGGCCATTGCGTTCCACACGTCGTTCAGGTTGCCTGTGCTGCTGCCCAGCACTGCACGGAGCAGTGACGAATCACTCCTGAGCACCAGCTGCGTGCTCAGGAGTGACGAATGCAATGGCCGCTCGAAGCCCTGCCCGCCCACCCCACCCAACAACAGAGTCGCACAACCACCCACCTGGCAGTGGCCATTGCGTTCCACACGTCGTTCAGGTTGCCTGTGCTGCTGCCCAGCACTGCACGGAGCAGTGACGAATCACTCCTGAGCACCAGCTGCGTGCTCAGGAGTGACGAATGCAATGGCCGCTCGAAGCCCTGCCCGCCCACCCCACCCAACAACAGAGTCGCACAACCACCCACCTGGCAGTGGCCATTGCGTTCCACACGTCGTTCAGGTTGCCTGTGCTGCTGCCCAGCACTGCACGGAGCAGTGACGAATCACTCCTGAGCACCAGCTGCGTGCTCAGGAGTGACGAATGCAATGGCCGCTCGAAGCCCTGCCCGCCCACCCCACCCAACAACAGAGTCGCACAACCACCCACCTGGCAGTGGCCATTGCGTTCCACACGTCGTTCAGGTTGCCTGTGCTGCTGCCCAGCACTGCACGGAGCAGTGACGAATCACTCCTGAGCACCAGCTGCGTGCTCAGGAGTGACGAATGCAATGGCCGCTCGAAGCCCTGCCCGCCCACCCCACCCAACAACAGAGTCGCACAACCACCCACCTGGCAGTGGCCATTGCGTTCCACACGTCGTTCAGGTTGCCTGTGCTGCTGCCCAGCACTGCACAGAGCAGTGACGAATCACTCCTGAGCACCAGCTGCGTGCTCAGGAGTGACGAATGCAATGGCCGCTCGAAGCCCTGCCCGCCCACCCCACCCAACAACAGAGTCGCACAACCACCCACCTGGCAGTGGCCATTGCGTTCCACACGTCGTTCAGGTTGCCTGTGCTGCTGCCCAGCACTGCACGGAGCAGTGACGAATCACTCCTGAGCACCAGCTGCGTGCTCAGGAGTGACGAATGCAATGGCCGCTCGAAGCCCTGCCCGCCCACCCCACCCAACAACAGAGTCGCACAACCACCCACCTGGCAGTGGCCATTGCGTTCCACACGTCGTTCAGGTTGCCTGTGCTGCTGCCCAGCACTGCACGGAGCAGTGACGAATCACTCCTGAGCACCAGCTGCGTGCTCAGGAGTGACGAATGCAATGGCCGCTCGAAGCCCTGCCCGCCCACCCCACCCAACAACAGAGTCGCACAACCACCCACCTGGCAGTGGC